GTCAGTTTCACTGGGTGGGGTTCCCCACAACCCCACGCGTGACTGAAGATAAGAAAAAATTTGAGTACTTTCGTAGCGTAAGCCTCACCAAGAACTCACAGTGTGCCCATCATGTCAGCTGCCCAGCAAGACGTCAGTGTGGTGACCAGACGTCCCCAGTGCGGCGCATTATCAAGTTTGGTCATGGTTACAACCAACCGACGGCTGACTACGTCGTCTACTTCGACGCAGCTGGCAATTCCGTTCACCGTGTGCCTCCGTGAGGAATAGGGGTGCTAGATTGTACGCTGATGGGCCAGATCGCAGTTGATAGCCAGGAATTGGGAAGCAGACAGCGACCTTAACCATAAATCCTAACCTTAATCTTAACACTAAACTCAAACTTAAACGTTAACTGTTAACTGTGACGGCAACCCTAACCCTAATCGAAATCGTAAACATAACCTTACCCCCTATACATAGCCGTAACTAGAAAAGCTAATCGTAAAAGTGAATCCTAATCGTACGCTCAAACCCTAACCGTAACCAAAATACCGAAGCCTGAAGGCATAACCCTAACTCGAAAATCGGAAACCATTAATCGGTACTCTTATCCTAACCTCAAACGTAAAACGGGAGCCACGTTGGTCAAATGTGCTTATAGAGATCCACAAAATAGAACCCGCAAAGCGGAGAATCGCCTCAGATGCACCTATTAACTTCAATCCCTCAACTTCTGTCTGAAAACGCATTTAATGCTTAAATGAGCAAATTCTATGCAAGCATTTATGTTCTCCTAGCTGAATGAGACCGAAAAAACAGAAATGATCGTAAATCAAATCAACGTGCAGCATAATTCTACAATACTTTAGTTACCTTAGGACGTCCGCTTTTGCACAAACGTCTTTCCGGCTGCAGTTAGAAAGACATACTCGGTAAAAAATGACTACTTAAGTAGCATGCATTTTTAAAATTGATATTCGATGCCCCTAAAGATTCAATCATATTTCATGAATAACATGCATAAAAATATTCATTATTTTGCTTACTTGATAGGAAATTACTTCTTCTTCTTCTTCTAAATGTATACTCAAAAGAGGAGTATAATTTGGTTTGAAAAAGGTTCCAATTGTGAGATTTTTAATACCGTGAAATGACCCTTCATAAGACGTCATGTCTCTGCATTTACAAAGGTGGTTTGCAAAGGTGACAACGGGGTTCAAATCCACAGCTTAATTGTATTAACCCCATATGGTCTTCTTTTAATATGGTGGATAAATATATGGTTTTCCTTACACGAAAATTATACGGCTTATAGTTTGTGAACCCTGAATGCATGTGTGACAGCAGGTCAGATCCAAAATTATGCGGAAATTGGAAAAGTTAAAAAAACCGAATTATTCGCCTTCCTGGATTATAAAACTGAAAGAAGACGTAATTGTCCGTCGAATGAGCAAAAAAATGAATACTTTTTATGAATTTTTTTTCCATGAAATACAATTGAATATTTAAGGGCATCGAAAATCAATAAGGAAAATGCATGCTAACTAAAGTGTGGCTTCTGCCTGTGGCCGGAATGAAATTCGTTCGAAAGATGGTATCTTTGCGTAACTGCATTAGTTTTGGAATGATGCTGCAGTTTAATTAATAGTACAACCCTACTTAAGTACTCTTTTCGAAACAAAAGCGCATTTCAGAATTTCGGTTAACATTTCATGAGTAAACACACTGCACTGTCTCCGTTTCCGGCTTGTTAGAGATGCGTTCATTAGAACTAAAGATTTTTTGATTTCGGGAATGGGGACGCCAGAGGAATAAACGATATCATAAGTTCACATGTTGGTCGG